CCTAAATCATTTTCTGGCTTTTGAGCTGGTATTTTAGAAACAATAGTTATTACTAACTCTTGGCAATTTTGAGGAAGTGGTCTGTCTTTAAAATCTCGTTTGAAATGCTGCAAAGTAGCTACCAAGTCTTCAATTCCAAATTTCTCTCTTATTTCAAGTGCATTCTTGAGGTATTTGCAGTTTTCTAAGCGAGCTGGGACCTTGAATAAGTATGGGCCATTATGTTCCCAAGTTAGGGCGACAGCTTTGCATTCCACAAATTCTTCTCCAGTCCAAATGCATGGTTTGTCAGCAAGGCATGTACCAATCCTCTTTGATTCTTCTGGTGTTGTTGAGGCTAAAAGCTTTTCAAAGAACTCGTATATGTCCTTACTCACGGAATCTGCAAACTCCATCATTTTCTTTGGCTTTTCCTTATTAAATTCTTCAATCAAGTGGTGGAAGTGGGACAAGACATTGGTGTAAGAAGGGCATGATCTGATTTGTAGTAGAGTTGGTGCTCTTTCATCTACAATACCACAGCCTCCTTTAATTGGTGGTTCCTGGTTGAGGAAAACCAATTGAGAGCCGGCGAGTGAAATGTTTGTTGTGTCATCTTTAAACCGTCCACTCAAAAATATATCACACCCTCTGTGAAGTCGGCCTCTTTGTCCTTTCCACTGAAGCATGTAGTTTTCCGGCCTCTCCATAACAGGTAGGAATGGAATTTGTGACAGATTAGAGCATTTCTCCGTGGATAACATTTCTCTTTCGTCCTCTTTTACCAGGCACTTGATTATTATCTGTGCTCTCTCCAGAGCTTTTGTTCCATCTACCCTGTGTAATTGTTCAATTCCTGTGGCTCTTTCCTCTAAATGATGAAGCGGGATAGAATCATAAAGCATTCCAAGTTCCTTCACTGCCTTATCCACGAAAACCTTATCATCACAAAACCGTTTAAGTGGGAACATACTTTCTTCCTCGTCAAAAAGCTGAGCAAATATTGCATCAGGATGTATCATTTTTTCAGCTTTTTTTAGCTCTTCGCCATCAGGAGCACAAGGGATGCAGGCATTTTGTTTTAAAAACTTTTTGAGACACAAAAATCTTACTTCGTCCGTTTGTCCAATTTCACTGGCATAACACTTGAGAGCAAGATATAGAACATCATTTCGGCTTTCTAGCACATCTTCCAGTTGAACAATTCTGTCAAAGAACTGTTCCAGAAAAGTTCTCTCTGTCTCAATTGATTCAGCAAGATCAAGGTATTCGTGATACTTCTTTGGAAGGTGGACGACAGGCAATTTTATGTGGTTCACAATTCGTAACACAGCTTTGGGAAATTGTGTGCTGTGGGAAAATCTGAGAATGTTAGGATCAAGAAATTTACTCTCATCCAGTGTTAGCCACTCGCCAGTTGAATCGGAAAAAAATAGTTTACTTTTTTCAATTTTTGTGTATACTTCTTTTGCACAGTGATGCCATGGATTGCGCACTAGAAGCTCTTCTTCAACAGGCCAAATTGAAAAGAATTCATATTCTTTGAGTTTTGAATTGCTCTGCAATTCTTTCAGTGCTTCTAGTAGCCCACAGTAAGCGGAACAGATGACAGTTTTCATCAGTGATATATTCCATTCAACCTCGAGCTCCTCACTCTTTGCACCTTCACTTTCGTCAGAAGTCCAGATTCCTCTTCTGTTGTGAATCACAGCAAAATTGGCACTGACGTGAACCGGAAGGCCTGTCTTCATTGACAGGGGAAGAAAGCAAAACATTTCCCCTTTTATCTTTTGCGCTCTATAGCAGCCTTCATCACTAAGTGGAGAGAGTGAGCATGCAACAGATGCAGTGGAATATTTCTCGAGTACAGTTTGGCTACTTGTTTCAACCAGCAAGTATTCTGTCATGTCGGCTGAACCATTCGCTGAGCAAGTAATCTCATGAATACACCTCCCACTACTACCAATTTCTTTTTTATGCCTTGTTATTCTCATCAATTCTGTTGGTTGCTTCTCTCCTCGGCCTATCTGAGAAAACGTTATTGTGTTTATACTTTGCAAAAATATTAGCACTTTTGAACTAGACTTTTGCATCTCCTCCATGAGCTCTGTTACATCATTACTTGTATATATCTTCTCGCTCAATTCACTCTCTCCAGTTCGGAAAGGAAAACGAAATGTTGTCCCTTTATATTGGATCCCAGAATCGAAGCCATAGAGACCAACATATGGTTCCAGTTGTTTAGACCGACTGATGAATTGTGATGCGAAACTAACTCTCTTTCCTGGTGTTGCTGGGTTTTTAATCTGGTCCTTGAGGTATTTCAGCGTCGGATCAAATATGTACAAAAGATCACTGCTCACAAATGAAGGAATATCGGTTATGTGATACACAGAGCAAAAGCCAATGCCAAACTTTCCTATTTTCAAGTGTTTTCCTTTCTTTGTACCTCCTGCTAATTTGGTGATGTTCACGAAGTCTTCCTTTGAAAACATAGCATCATTGTTAACAACCAATGCAGGTCCATGACAGTCAGCCATTCCAGGGAAGAAGAGCCTTTCTCGCTTGTCCGTGTGGCATCGTTTGTCATAGCAGATATTCATTTCCGTAGCTCCGGCATCATCAGCGTTTTGAAGTAGTTCTTTGATGATTGTGAGACCATCCTTGTAATCGGTCAGAATATTCTTGAGTCGCACTGTGAGTGGCTCACTTTGACCGACATCTTCAAAGGCATCATCAGAAATATTGAGGCGCTTGCTTAGGGGGGGAACATTTAATTGACGTGCCATTGTAGGAGTTACTAGATTATGAACGAATACGTACTCAGCGTCGTCACCCGCTGCTTCTGAGCTTTCTAGGTATCTTTGAAGGAAGTCATTGTCTGTGTAAACCACATCTTTTGCAGCAGCCAGTTGTGGCCATGGCTCATCTGATCTCACAGGCACTAAGGTTTCTTCTCCTTCAATATTACCGCTTTCAGCGTCAGTTAGCCAGTGTAGTATGGCCTTAACCAACTGCCAGGCATGTTCACTACTGATACCCAAACTATTGGAGTCTCCTTCTTTGATTGCTGGGAGGATTCCCAGGATCTGTTCTCTAGTGACCATCTCCTGGACACCGAGATCCTTGAATAGGCACTCAAACTGAGCTAGATCGTCTGGAAGGATGTAGACGAAGGGCTCCAGACTGTGCCTGAATTCTTCATTTTGTGCCAGTGCAATATTGTGCGGGTGAACAAACTCTTCCTGTCGAGTCAACCACACACAATCTTGAGTCTCCTTCAGTTGTGTGAGGTTCACAGTGTGACCTTCGCTCCTGTATTTGTTCAGCCACTCATAGATAGTGTAGGTTACTTTCCTGATGTCTACATTTCTTTGGCCGCTCAAAATAACTTTCTCTAATTGCGCCACGATATGCCCAATTACATCCTTAGCTGATGGCTCAAAAGCTTTGCAAACTGCGTGAGGAAGAGAGTGCTCGACAAGATACATCTGCGAGCCACAGGCAAGGGCAAGAGAAGCTTGTTCTTCATGAAGAAGAACAGAAGATCCAAAAGAGACAAGATTAGACTTGCATGCCTCACCTTTCCAGCTCAGCCATAGTGGGTAGTTTTGGGGAGGCAAAGACTGTAGTGGTAACCAGCTCTTCTTTAACGATAATTGTCTCAGTGCTTCTGAAAATTTCAAACCTCCTTGTCCTGCAATACAGACAATATCAGAAAGCTCACTGTCCCACTTTTTTATGTAATTGAGAACCGCTCTAGCTCTGGTGTGCCTCACTTTGTCTACCTTGATGGGAGTAGTATCATTGGCAGGGCTGCAAATACTGCATATAATCTCCACAACTTCTTGTGTGGAAACAGTGGTTTTAAGTCCACACGACTCAAGGATATCAATGAGCTTTTTATTACGAAATGGGTCCACAGGAAACACTGGTTCGTTGGTAAAGAGATCCTCAAGCTCTGATTCAAAAGGGGAGTACAGAGTATTTGGTGCCTTTGGCTTTCCTTTAGACACCGGGACAAATGACAGTTTTGCTATTGCCTTTATGAAACCCTCTATATCACAATCATTTGTGATTACACTGTACTGTTCTAATACTTTAAGCATAATTTTCTTTGCTGCATTTCTCCCTATCACCTCTCGCTCAATCTCTGGAAAAACAAGATTCATGAGGATGTCAACTGTAGTTGGGCAACTGACAGAGATATTTTGCAGTAGCATCTTTTGGTAGGGTTCTGAGCCTGAAAATATTATGATACTTTTAGGGAGATTTTCCGGACTCAATGGAAAATTAGGAGGCTCCATTATGGCATCTCTTCCGGTTGATTCTTCAACTTGAACCACTGAATGAAGTTTCCCTTCTGGAGTTTTCGTTAGAAACATTGGTATCTCCCTCAGTTTCGCCAGCCATTTCGGATTCACCCGAGCTCTACAAACCAGTGTGATAACCTGCATAGCTTCCTCTTTTGTCAGTGATACGCTCTGAGAAGACGGCGATGCACAGCATAGAGCATCAAGTATTCCCTCGGGTGAAAATACGTTCATGAGTGACCCAGGATCGAACACAAATGGGTGCTCTTGTTGTTGACAACACTCAACTCCCAGTTTTTCAAGGGCACTAATGAGAGATTGATCACAACTCTGGGTACTAGGGATAAAAAGGGCTGACGATGTTTTACTGAGTGGTACTATGGTATTATTACCAACTGGTACCAATGGAAGGTTTTCGAACAGACTCAATTTTTCTCTACCTACCCACAGCCATAAGGTTTTTAACCACAGAATGGTGATGCTGTTTAAGTAAGGCAGTTTGACCTTAATCTTCTGTGGCAATATCTTAGGAAGTAATTTGGCCACACCTTCACAGTTTAAAGGTTGCAGATTACTACACCTTCCACTAGCTATATTGCTAAGTTTGGCATACAGCTTCTCCTCCATATTTTCATCCACCAGCTCACCGTCAAGGTTTGGGAGTAGGCGATGAGGGCATTCTTTTGAGCATAGGTAGACTGGGGAACTAGAGTCTGTTTCAAATCTTGTAAATCCCCCACTTACTAGTGGTAAAAGTACCAAATCATGCAAGTCGTTATATGCATCATCTGATAGACAGTACTGAAGCAACTCAAGTTTATCATCTGATGACAGCTCTGCATAACTCTCGGGTTTCTTTCTTAATGCATTTCTAGCAAGAGAGGGTGAAACAGTTGCATACGGGATATTGCAAAAGTTTAAAGCATTCCAAATTGTGTCTATTACTGTTACGAGGTTTACTCCACAGGCTGAAAGAGCCGCATTCATTGCAGCATGGAGTGCTTCCTCTCTGGGAACAAAGACTGCTGAACTGACCTTAATCCAAGCAGAGAATCCCCCTGGTTTTGAGAAAGGGATGACATCTTTTGAAAACAAGGTTTGCAGGAGAGGAGAAAGTAAATCAGCCCAGGGTGTTCCAGTCACCTTACTGGTATCAGGCCAGGCTTGGCAGAACCGATCAGGCTCTAGAAGAATCTTAGCGTGGTCTAGAAGCAGCATGGCATAGCAGGGAGGCAGGAGCTCTCTGACTAGCAAATGGTTCCACTGGGCTGATGGATCGTTTCGTCGCTCAATACCTGCCCATTTTAGCTCTCGCCGTTCGTCATTGAGGCTAAATGTACCATTGACATGTACTGGTAAACTACAGTTTACGTCAGGGGGCATCGGCAGAACACAAAACACTCGGCCACCAGTTGGCTCTATACCGATTGCACTAGTTTCAAGGGCCACCCCAACCCATGGAAAAACTTTCAACTTGGTTGCAAGCGTTCTAACTTCCTCTGATTGGGATCCCACTTGCTTTGCCACCAGCCACTTACTGGAGCTTGTGGAAGACCTAAAATCATCCACCTTAATTTCTACATGAACCACCTGGGATAGCACGTTTCTAATGCTGAATGACTGAGAATCAAAGAGGGTTTGGAGGCTAGCTTTAAACTCGGAGCGTTTTTCTCCGAGATCATCATTGGAAATCGCAGAAATGCTGAGTTTTAGGATGTTTGAATGTGTGCCATTCTCCCCAATTTGAAACACCTGTACAGTGCGCACAGAGCGAAGAAAGAGTAAAATGCACTTTGCCTCTCCTTGGAGGGCGACGAGCAGATTGCGGAGCTTTTCTATATCATATGTATGAGATGACACACGTTCTTCACGTGGTACATTGCGTAGTGGAAAGCGAAAAAGTGTACCTTCGAATGCTCCATTTTGAGCTGAGAAACCACAGAGTCCTTCAAATGGGGCAAATGTGTCTGAACATTGCGGGTTTTTGTCAATTTCATACCATCTTCCACTCTTTCTGTGCCAGATCTCCTCATGTGGGTCAAGGTAGGCCAGTCTGTTTCCGCTGACAATGGTGGGCAGGTCTATGGAACAGTATATACAATATATACATAAGAGTAAGTTACTGACAGTGTGCATATCCCTCATACAACATATATAGTACACACATACTAGTTAAAGTACCTGCACGAGTACTCTACTGGATATAGTGAACGCGGAATGTGTCGAGAGGCTAATAGAGCATAAGGCACAGCCGAGTGCTCTATTATGCCTCACTATATTCACTTTCTACACTGGCTGAGTGTATTAGTGGAGTAGCCTGAAGAGGTGTGAAAAGTAACAGGTAATATGACTGCAGGTGTGAAAAGTAACAGGTAATATGAGTGATATTACCTGTTGCTTTTCACACTTCTTCCCAATCGACCGGACAGAGTCGTTCGGCGCCTCCCGCGGAGTTCCGAGCGCTTCGCCACTCGGTAAAGACACCTACAGCCCATTGGGTGTTTTTGGCGGTGTTACTTGGAACGAATACCTTTGAAATCTCAGCTATTTCGCTATTTCTTCCTCGGACATAATATATAGTACGAAAGCGGCTTTCAGGCAACAAGAGTCTTCCTCCAACTACGACGCGGGCGGCGAGGGTGCGCAGGAGCTCCCGCGTGACCTGCACGCCGGGCCCATCCACCAGGCTTCCTTCTCTTTTTCGGAGAGCGTAAGTCCTGGTCCTCCATGACGACGACGCTGTCGGACGTTCCGCTCAGATCAGACGGGACGAGACGACGCTGTCAGACGCTCAGACACGCGCGCGGTTCTCCAGTGTACAAGCTACCAGTAGCACGCCTACTGGCGGGCCTTCCACGTGTATGCGCTCAGTAATATTGCCTAATCCCTCGGGCTACGCCCTCAGGTTTACGCAATATTACTTGCGCATATACGTGGAAGACACCTGGTAGGCGTGCTACTACTATTACTATATCCGGTAGAGTACGAGTTTAGGCGGGCTTTCACTGGTTTAGTGTGCGTTTACGGGGGAATCTGCCACGTGTGCAGGCGAAGAAACGGCTGGACGCGCGATTGAAGGCGAAGATGTGGTAGTCTATTCCAGCTTACTCACCTCATCCGTAGAAGGTTGGGAACGGCCTGGTTTAGTTTGGGGATGGATGAATGGTTTGCGGAGGCCTTTCCGCCACCCAAGAAGAAAAAGTGCCTATCTCTCACCCGCCGTACATCACCGTTGCAAGATTCTACTAATAGATTCGCCAAACCTGTTGAAGCGTCCGTTATGAGTGAGGCTGCCAAAGGAGTGATACCGTTGAAGACGGAGCAGAGTACACGGTGGGCCGTGAATAACTTTGAGCGCTGGGCCCGCTCACGAGCGTCTTCCAGCGCAGATACCGTCCCACTCGATATATGCGAAGCCATGGCGCGGAATTGGTATGTAAATGGCTCTGCTGCTTTATCTTCGAAACAAGGAAGATCGAGGGTATGCTAATGGGGCTCCTGTTGTGATTCCTAAGAATTCACTTTGCCTGTTACTTCCCTTAACTTTTCTAGAACCTTTAGTAACTGCACTATCAATCTTTCTCTCTTGACTGAGACCTTTTGGTTCTATGCATTTTGAGTTGTTATGTATATAAGCTGCATGTACCTATTGTCTTTTCTACGCCAAGTGTTTTATATGGAAAGTGTATTGTTCATGAGGCATGTTAGATCCCGGTGATTTGAAATCGCGCAATTTCATTGGTCCAAACGCGGGATATATTTTCCGTAGATTCCCGCTGCCCGACGACGGGATCTATGGGGAGCGAGCGGAATACGTGATAGTAAGAGACTCGAGCGAGGTTTCAGCTACCAGCGGCGAGCCAGAAACGGTAGGCTAAACTACAGCATCCCTCGTCGTCCGCCGCGCTTCGCGGAAAAGGGCTCCGCCCACTCTACGCGCACGTATCTTTCCAGAGCGTTCGAGATTGGCTCGCGGCGAGCATGAGTATGTCGAGTTCCTTCTCGAGTCTTCCTGGTCTAGACAAGATAGTAACAGCTCGCCTGGCGCTGCCATATCTTCGCAAACAGTTTGAATGGATCTAACTGGTTAGACGCGTCGCCACGGTAACTACGCGTGGTAGAGTGCCTCGGGCTCCCTAGTACGCCCTCGCTGCGCTCGGGACGCCGACAGCTCGGGAGCCCTCGGCACTCTACCACGCGTAGTCACCTCGGCTCCGCATCTAACCTATATATAGAGCACTCAGCTGGAACAATGGGGGCGGCATAATAGAGCACTCCCTGCACAATGGGCAGTGCTTACTATGGCAATGTGATCCGCATATATACAAAAAGACTAAAAACTCGGTGAGAATGACTCCCTAGGCCTTCAAAACACACTAGCAATAGTCTACGGGCCCATATCTACTTATACATGTTCCCAAAGACCTCATACACACCTTCAGTCGTCAACGCAAGTATTCGCTCATTAGCTATTTCACGATTTTCGTGTCGTCATCATAATAACATTCTTCATCTTCTTCTTCTTCTTTAAACCCGCTATCTCCTTACCAGTACACCAGTACCAGTTGAAGTGCTGATTTTTTCACTGAACGTCTCCAATTTAGCTGGAGGTGTGCACAGACATCAAGCGATTGTTTCTTTCTTGCCGCTAGTCACTACGGTAGATCATGGAGCTCTTCCATGGTCGACATTGAACAACGCCATTTGCTGCTAACTCAGCATCAGTTTGCCGTGTGCATGCGCCAGGCAGGGGCGTTGTCCAATGCGCTGTGCACATGTGTAACCAGGCGAGTTGACGGACCTGCAGAGGAACTCCATGCCTTCGTATAGTGGTAATTTCCACTGGCTAGCTGTGTGATTTGCAGAGGACAATGGCAATTTCCAACTGGCTAGCTTGCTGTTGATTTGCACGAGGAGCAACTTGGCAGAGTCTGCACAGTGTTAGGGGAACTTTGCAGCGTTCAAATGGGCCTTCATTGTTGGTCCCCCCCATTGTAGCCTGATTACCAAGCCTGCCCATGAAACCACAACCATGTGCAATAACCTAATTACATCCTTGTTGAAGACAATACATGTGAATGTGGTATCCAGCCCCTGCTTCAGGCCCATTATCTGCTTTCAACAGTTACACTTTTTCTATGGTAGCCTATGTACAGCATACCCAGGAGCATCAGAGTGACTTTAGCAATAAAATGCAGTGTTGTCATAAGCTGTTAAAAATAGTGGAAACAGGTGGGAAAATCTTTTCAAGGGGGATATAGGGATGGCTTGAAGCACCAAAAAGAAAGAAACAAGGGGTCATTATATACACAGCAAATATGCACAAAGCTACATGACACCATCCCTATATCTTTGTTGATGTTAAACTTTGCTTATAAACAATAAAACAAAGATATAGGAATGGTGTCATGTAGCTTTGTGCATCTTTGCTGTGTATATAATGACCCCTTGTTTCTTTCTTTTTGGTGCTTCAAGCCATCCCTATATCCCCCTTCATTTTGAATAAATGAGTACAATATATATAGTTCGGTAATTTCCCCTGTGTATTACACATTGCCAATATTCTTAATGCCAAAATAATTCATTGGTAAGTTGTGCACACACCTGTTATGTGATAGACTGAGTTAAACCCAATCCCAAATTTCCCAATTTTAAATGGATCTTCAGCCTTAACACTCTGTTGCATTTTTCTGATTCTCTGCCAGTCTTTTTCCTGGAACATGGCGTCGTTGTAGAAGAGTAGAGCCGGTCCCTGGAACTGGCCTAGACTGGGGTAGATCAGTGACTGTGATCCATGCTGACGGCTGTTCAGGTAGAAGTGCACAGTGCTTGCTCCAGCATCGTCAGCATTCTGAATTATCTCCTGTAGAGAGTATGTGTGAAAAAGGTGGGATTAGTGGGTAGGTGGGTTGTTAGGGTTGAGCCTGTATAATTATAGTTCTTGCATGCATAAGGATTCCCCACCTACGCAAACAAGGTGCTCCAGCATGGACTGATAGGTAACTTTTTGGTTTTTCAAGAGGACGTGGAAAAGCGGCGTGTATTTTGTGTGCCTATAAAGTCGTCCTACGGACGTTTTCCCCGGCAAACCTTGATCTATGGATCTATGGAGCTATGCATATTGAATATTTGGCCGTCCGGATACTTGTCCAGAATCTTCTGGATGGTAACGTAGAGTGGCGGCTGTTCCTGGCCAAAGGCATGCCCCTCCACGGCGCTGCTCGAATCCATGGCACTGCACACGCAGCAGCAGCGGTCACCCCCGCTGCATGCAAGGAATGACGACAGCGTTTGCGCAGAGCCGCACGCCGCCCCGCGGCGCCTTGCGTGCGGTGACGTGGTGGTCGCTGAAGTTTTTCGTAGAACTGTTGCTGCACCGGGGGGGTCGTGATAGACACAATTCCTGTGACATAACCGATATTCACTACGGAAAAGTTGAGTTCTTTTGTAGTTGTCCACATCACAATGCAAGATTGCACAGTTCTTGTAAAGGTAGGTTTCCTCCTAAGTCTTAGTCTTGACTCCAGCTTTATCCACTGCATATGACACTGTGAAAACGTATATGTACCTTGTCCTTTTCTTGTGGGTGGCCACCTTGTCGCAAAATTCCAGGGGAGATAACCAATATTCAAAATAACCAGTTCTCAATAATAGATTTTATGTCTAGTCGTACAAACCTGCTTTCTTGGTATTTGTCTCCTATAATATTATACTTCCAGCCCTTTTCTGATACTAGGGGTGAGAACTACTTTATCCTTTTGGGTGTTTTCACTTGCGGCTTTGTATTATCATGATAATCAAACAATTTGTTGCTACACCAAAACATTAAGATGATATGCTACTAGCTAGCTACAGCTACATTGTGCAAAAGTTCTAAATATCTACATTAACCAGGTCTCTGACAATCTTGAGTATTCCTGTTGCACACTTTTCAGCCTCAATGGCATTTGCAAGCGTAAATGCTTCACATGGAGAGGATGTTTCGTTCTCCTTTGGGAATCTTGTATCTTCGTAGTAGGCAGACTCCAGTGGCTCAGCTAGAATCGAAAGACCCCTTGCTCTGTCTTTTTCAACTTGCTCCACTGCAAATGCCAGTGGGATGATGTTGTGACTCGCTGCTTGCGCCTTACGCAAACCGCATGTAAAATACATGGCACCTTTTAGGGCCTTCTCGGCCACTTCGTGTGCCATGAAACACACGTGGCAATAGAGGTGAGGATTATTCTGTGCCTCGTTCAACAGGACCTGCAGTGCACTATGGTCTGCGACTGCCTGCTTCACCCACTGCTTTGCCTTGGTCTCGTTTGTAGGCGGCGTGAATGGTTGACTAAAGAAACCCCCGCCACCAGTAGCTCCGCCATGTCCTCCTCCTCCTCCCCCTCCCCCTCCTCCTCCTCCACCACCTTGACTACGTCTGTTTCTTGCCTGTTGCTGGTAGTGCCTGTGTTGGCTGGCATACGAGTTCCAGGTCTGCTGGTGTGCCCTCCACGACTGATACGGACCCGAATTATTTGAGGCTGATACTCCATCGCCTCTTTCCAGTCGGTCCAGCGCCTCCTGAATAAATTTGAAAACCTCTTCTGCCAGTTCGGGATACGTCAGGTTTTTATCTGGGTGCCATTTTAAAAATAGGCGGCGGATGGCTCTCTTGCGCTCGTCCTGCGGAAGGTGCCAAATCTCTTCTAGCTCTTTTCTGACTTCTTCCTTTGCCTGCTGCAAATTGAT